GTAAACAGAAGACTCCCTCAAAAGTTCTATCATTGGTTTGTTCTCTCTTTGAGATTTAATCTTAACAACATTCACATCACATTCACAATTATGAGGATCTGGAACGGAATAACCATAGCAATACTAGAGTTATGAATAGAATGATGTCCAAAAGATGAATAACTAGGAGATTGTTTGACAGTGCCAGAGTTACATTTATTCTTTGAATACAAAATAGAGCTAGAGCAAGAACGGGATTGTTTCTCAGATGACACTTTCTTCTTTCCTCCAACTATATCCCTCCTTTTCTGCCTCCACTCTTCCTTCTTCTCCTCCCTCTTCTTCACTTCTTGTCCTGTGAACGACGGAGAAGAGGAGTGAGTGGAAGTTCCTTTTGAAAATTTAATTTGATTTTGAGAGGTGGAAGTCTCCTTTTGTGAAGGAATACAAGGGGATTTGGGAGTTGCTTTTGAATGAAATTTTTCGCTTAATTGATTAAATTCACTCAAAAGTATTTCCCAATTACTTTCAAAACCTTTCTTCTCAGTTTCAAACCTTTCTCTCTCAAGCTCAAATCTTTCTCTCTCATTATCTAGAGTTTCCTGTAAATCCTTAAGTTTTTGAGCCATTGGAAAAATACAGGGTTCCTTTTCACATTTAGAGATACCAACAGTTGGAGGTGGGTCTAAAGGATGTCCCTGGTATGAAATGTCTTCTTTAATAAGAGCATAAGGATTTATGCACTCATCTGTTGAAAACTCTTGTTCTAGATTGTTATAGCTTTAATTAAGGTTGGAATAGCTGAAGAAGGGGGTCTCCACTCTTGGGTTCTTCCTCTTTTCTTCTTCTTTAGCATTTTCTTTTTCACCGGTATAATCCATTTTCTGACCGTATTCTAGTCTCATGTGGTCTAAGTCATAAAGCTGAATGCAATCAACTTTCTTTAGATAGCATGGATTAGATATGCCAAGTTCGGATCTGGGATTATAATACCGGTCATCACTAATTTGATTTGAGAAGATACTTTGTTCTGATTGACCTCTCCTAGCAATAAGATCCTCCAGTTCTTTGATCTTTCAAAAAAGTTCACTTCTTTTGTTTTGAAGAAAATTGTTATCAGCCTTTGTTGTGCTTGTCTCTCTTTCACTGTCTTGCAATCTCTTAGTAGTATCAGCTATCTTAAGTTCTAGACTTTTTGACTCTACGGTTACCGTTTTGACCTGTTCTTTTGCATTATCTAATTGAATGCTGAGAGAGGCGTTTTGGTCCAGATTCTTCTTTAAGACCCTGAGATTATTGTCTAATCTCTCCCTAAGTTCTTTAATGATGTTGTCCTTATCACGTAAGTACTTAGTTTGATTTTAGCAAGAGCAAAGAAGATCGGATTTACTTACAGCGCTTGTTGAGCATTCACTTCTGGGGATCGCAGCATCACCCTTTCTTTCTTCTTCATCTTCCATGCGAGCCATCAGTGCAAAGTTTTCCTCCTCCTCCTCTTCCTTAGAAGTATCATCTGTCCAATGATCTTTTTCTGCAAGCATTGCAGCATTCTCTTCTTCTTTCTGCACCATAAGCATTTACTGCTTATTACACAACATTTTCTGCTTGTAGAAGTTTGCATCCCTCTTCTTTGGTAGGCGACAGTCTTTGATGACATGTCCAGCCTTGCCACAGTTGTATCATTTTGGAGCATCTTCATGTGCAGGTTCCTTCCCAGAGGTGCTTTGATCATTGTACTTCTGCTTGTAGACTTGTAGTTTGAGGAGGAGGTTCTTAGTCTGTTTGCGGAGCTGTTCTTCTTCACAAATTTCCTTGTCAGCAAGGCCATCTTCTTTTGAAGATCAGCAAGTTCAGCCTCAAGGTCAAGCTTGTCTTCATCACTTTCATCATCTTCAGATTCGACCACCACTTTCTTCTTCTTCCTCAGAGATTTGGTTGTTCTTTTAGGCTGTGCTTCCATCACCAGAGCTAATGGATTGCCACCAAACTGATCTTCACGGAAATCTATGTCATTCACAAATTGTTTCAGGTGTTCATGAAGGGTGCAAAGATCAATCTCATCGAGGTCGAGATGTTGCCTTACGTCCTTCACAGTCTTTCTCCATTCGGGGTGTAAGCTGGACAGAAATCTTATATTCAGTTTCATATTGGACTTGAATACTTTGATTTTCTGCAGCTTAACAAATTTGTTATAGGTCTCATTCAGTGGTTCCCCGGAGGCAGCTTTGAAAGAATCATAAGCAATAAGAGTGCTTGCTTTCTTGGTTTTTAAGCTAATGCTTGTGCCCTGGAGCAGTTTCTCGATTTCGTCCCACATTTCCTTCGCAGCTTGCATGCTATCAATTAACACATAGATTTCATTTGGGATAGCTTGGAGCATGTATGTTTTGCCATGAGATCAGCTTTCAGTCTTAGCTTATCTGCTTCGGTATGTTCTGATGGAACTTTCAGTCTCCTTTCAGGAATGATAGGAAGATTATTCTCATCATTTCCACCTACCGAAATCCACAACTCAGCAGGTCCTTGAAGGAGTGATTCGAGCATTGCAGCGGAGTTGTCTTTGTGTTCAAGGAAGTTTAAGAATCGATTCCTCCACATCTGATATTCACTTCTCCTGAGAATAGGAAGGGTACTAATGTTTCCTTGTGCAATAGCATCTGAAGACATTGCTGTAAAAGGGGTTGACCGTTCGAGAGAGAAAAAATTCTAAGTGAAAATCTCGAAATCCTAGATTTCCATAGATTAGGTTTGAGATTAAGAAAGTCGAGATCAACCTGTCGAGAAGTGAAATGTCGAAATTGATTTCGAAAAATTGATTCAAAAACAAGATGTCGAGATCCTGTTTTCGAGATCTCAATGTCGAGATCTTGATTCGAAAACAGGATATCGAAAACCTGTTTTTCGAGATAAAGATTTCGAGAAGTCAAATTTCGAGATTTTGATCTCGAGATGCTGATATCGAAATTGTAACTCGAAAACCCAATATCGAAGTCCTGAATCTCGAAATCCTGGAAGTAGAAATTTTCGAATTTTTGAAAAATGAAAACTGTTCTGGAGAGTCCTTGATCTCGCGATTCACCCTGTAAAATTTAAAGCCGAAATTGTTTGAGCAGACCTGTCGAAAAGATGATTTCGAGAAGCCTATCTCGAAAACTTTCGAAGCTAAAAGTTGCAGAAAATAAAAAATAAGTTATGATGTATAATCGTTAGAAGATGACGATTATAACAGTATAGCTTTTACAGATTCTTGATCAACAAAGAGATTACAGAGGCAAATACAAGGATGTCAAAGAAAATGAAAATAACAGAGCAGATCTTCGCAGATGAACTCTCGATCGGCTCTGATACCAAATGTTGGTCCCTGATTGAGAGATAATGATCTAACAGCATTACAGCAATAATAATATGTTACAGCAATACAAACAAGGGATCAGATAATGATATGAAGCAGATGATCAGTGAAACTCTCTTTGATATGCCGTGAACTGTTTACAGAATGATGAGCGCTAAGCCTGATAGTTCGAATGCAAAAGTTAACGCAAACCTAATCCTAAGCGTCTTTTTATATGCGCAGATAGGTTTGCGTACAGGCTTTACATCAGGTATATGGGTCAGACACTTGGGCCCCATATCTTTTACTACTCTAATAAATACACACAATTAATACATCAAGGAGCAATAAAAGCTATACTAATACAAGACTCTTGACAAACTTGACTCACAATAAATATTCTTCAACAGAGAGGAATTGAATGGGTAATTGCAAGAGTATATTTAATTAAACTCAAGGCATCCAAAAATGTTTGAGGTTATATAAGAATGTATCCATCATTTAAAGGAAAAATGGACAAGAATAATTTCAACTATTAGTGATCCGCTTGAAATAATCCAAAGTACCGATTATCTCAAAATAAGCACAACTATTGGAAAAAAATCCCAAAATACTCCATGGACAATAAAAATCCCAAAAAAATCTCTCAACTATTGTCCATCATGGAGTATTTTTGAGATTTTTTTTAATAGTTAGGATTATTTTGAAATAATCGATATTTTGAATTATTTCAAGCAGATCACTAATGGTTGAGATTATTCTTGTTCATTTTTCCTCATTTTAACCATCCTTACATCAAAGCATTTTCTTATGCCCATTTGAATTCGTCCGGCCCGTGTATTAAGAGCATGGCCAAGTACTCTAACCTAGTAATCCATACTTTTCGTGTTTTCATCCATATTTTCGGTTCGGGTTAACGAGATACTCGTGGATGCGGTTGATATTCCCAGCCCCGTTTCTTCCCAAAATAGGGACTATTCACGCCTATTTAGGGAAGCTTTAATCAAGTAATTCTTTTAATAAAACTAAGTAAGTCCTATTTGAACTTGAGTATGTATTGATCCTATATTAAGCATCGGTCCTATTCAATGCTTTATTCATGAATTCATTTGAATTCTGACAAAAACTTAGAAGTATAGAATATTGGGATCAACTTTGCTATGCTGGAAAGACAAGAAAAAGAACAAACTGAAACTATTATTCAATCCCGCTAGTCCGCTACTGCTTTGGACCCAGAAGGCGAAGGGAATGAGCTCAGTTGCTAAACACCATAGCTTCTTCATCATCAAGAGCCAAAGGAGACTCATTAAAAGACAGGTGTAGACCTGTAGCCTGTACTCTGTAGGTGTCCCCATCAGCTTATTATTTTTTCATATCAATCGAGCCAAAAATAATTCCATCCAGACAGACAGTTGGGCAAAAGACTCCGAGAGAACAGCCATAGGAGATTCATTAAAAGACAGGTGTAGACCTGTATGGGACATTGCTAAACCCCAGAGCAGGGGAGTAGCCAGAGTTTTTCTATAGGCAGCCGAGAAGAGATAGGTTAGCTGAGTCATAGATGGCTGAAGGGGGTTTACCTGCCAAACATGTTCCAGGTCACCTGGAATCATTTTGAGAAGCATACTACTTCAATTCGAAATATTCTAGGATTATACATTTAGGGATTTTGATGTAAATTTTTCAAACTTTTATGTGAATCTTTAGTACTCCATATAAAAATCAAACTGCTTTCCTCCCACATATTCCACAGTTTTACTACACCTATGAATGCAAGATGACAACACTTGACAAGTATAGAAGTCCTTGACAACAATAAACATGAATAACTTGATGCTTACACATCAAAATGTCAATGCTTTTTTTAGAATATTCTTTTAAAGTTTAAAGCATGACAGCGGGCATGAAGCTATGGAAGAGAAAACACGCATCAACATTCATGGTCTTCAACAAATATTTAAGACAAACTCAGCTAGAAAGCCCTTGTGAATGGGTCCTCCTTTCATAAGGTACACATAGAAACAGATGAAATCCATGAAGAGAGATCCTATCTTCCACCTCGAGCATAGTTCCTATCAAGACTGTGATGATAGGGAGAATATGACCTGGACCGATCCCTTCTTGACCTTCCCCCGTATGGTGACCGCCTAGGTGAATATTCCCTTCCACCTCGATATGGTGGTGAACGCCTAGGCGGTGAACGTCTTGATGGTGAACGCCTTGGCGGTGACCTTCGATAGCCGTACTCATTGTAGCCACGATACCTCCCACGATCACCACCACGATAACCTACACCCAAACCAAATGCTATGGTAGACTTTTGGCAATGATAAACCATTGGTAAAATGCCTTGTCAATTTTAAATAGAATACCATATGGTGTTTGTACACCATACGGTAAACTTTTGTTCACCTATGACTTCCATATATGCACTATATCTGCATTTAGTCTTTGATATGATCGGAATGACCAAAAGAGGAAAAGATAAAATTGGGGACCACAAAATGAAGGCCAGCGACCACAGGTGGAAATGAAATAATAGTCATAGAACAAAATATATAGGCCTAGGAGTCTTACCCTCACCCCTGGTGCTCTTGAGCCCAAGATAGTGCCCAGGTGTTGGAGTCCTAGGACGTTTCCTTCGGGACTGAAAACATAAGATACATATATAAGAATTTGAAGTACACATTTTAGGAAACAAGGCATAGATCTTCTATCTAATTTATTAATTATCATAAAATATCTTCTTCTTAAACAAAATATTGGTGTCATAGTTAAATAAACTGGAGAAGAGGTCAAAAGTAATTATATTCTACATTAATAAATTTAACAACATTACTAATGAACAAAGCATGACGTTCACACTGAAACACGATCTATTATTAGAATTTAGCAACTAAAGTGGTAACTAGATTTTTACCAAAAAATAAATTAATATAAAAAACAAAAAACAATTCCAGGCATGAGATACCATAAAAGCCTCATTACAATGTTGCTAGACTGTTGATTAGTTGAGAGTTGAAACTATTTGCTGAAGTTGTAATAGTTGTTGGTTGGTCAATCAATATAGTTGCTATGTTTAGTTGATCAGAGATGCAATGTGAAACTGTTTTAGCTGGGCCCAAGCTGTGAGAATAAAATGTTGCAATGGAAGAACTGATCATCTTTCGTTTGCTGCCAAACAAAGCTGACACAATGCGTTCTAAATATCGTCAGAATACTTTCCACTACGCAAGAAAAAACAAGTGGGTCGTTCTTCAGCAATCAGATTTACATGTACAAGTTTTTTTACCTTCTCTACAGTTATGTATCGACCTTCGAGAACTGATTGATTGAGGTGTTTAACACAACGATTTGCATCATCAGCACTATCCATTGTTACAAAAGCAAATCCTCGAGAAATCCGGGATCGCGGCTCCACAACTAGAAACACTGATTTCACCTAGTGGGTAGTAGAAGAAAGACATTAGAGTGAAAAAGGTAAAAAAACAGAAAATGAGAAAATTCCTAGAATTCAATATTCAGAGGCAAATACAGGGAAACTATTGAAGGAAATAAAATGTGGCAGAAAATTAACCATTAGTTCTAACTCAGTAAGTTATATTTTCCATTTATACAAACTCATTTTATTAGTTTATTTCTAATATATACAGACTAATAAATATAAAAATATTTAAAGGTTTGAAAAACATTGATCTTATTTCATTTTCCTTTGCATTTCCAAATAAAACCAAACATAAAAAATGGTTTTCCTTGGGTTTTTTCTTTTCCTATCATTTATCAGGGTCCAAAAATTCCCTATGGAAAAGAATCACGCAAACAAAATCTCAGTAGATACTAGTTTATAGTGCAGTGCATACCTTTCCCTCCTTGGAGAAATGTTCTTCAAGATCCCTGTCTGTAACTCTAGAAGATAAACCAGTAACATAGAGGGTGTCCCCAGGATTAGGAGGAGCATTCCTACACAGTTTAACAAGAAAGAATTAAGTCATTAAAGAAGACCACTATGCGACTTTGGTGCCTTTAGTAGTTATGCCTTGACACTGGTAGGAGAAAAAAGGGCAGAGTAAGACCACATTATTTAACCTGTCACGACTTCTAGAACGTCCCCTCTCCCTTGACAATGACCTGGAGCGAGACCTTGACCTTGATCTTGAGCGAGACTTTTCTCCCCATGGAGAAGGAGATCGTGAATACCTGCCAAATAAATAGCTCATAAAATAAATATGCATACAACACCAATAAGATGAGCATGAATACATGGAAAGTTAATAATATGAGCTTCATATAATCAGTAGCTCATGAAACCAATCATTTGAACTGATGAAGTCGATCAAATGGCCATGAATACATGAAAAGTCATCAAAAAGAGAAAAATACAAAGAAAATCTTTGATGACACTCACTCAATGCACAGAAGAAAAGTTATTTCTGAAGATTAGTAAACGGGGAGTCTGGGAATGAAAAAAAATTACAGTTGATAAATAATCTGGATATCAAGTACAAAACTCATAACAGACCTAATCAATATGACTGTCTTTTATTTTAATTGCCACTAACTTTAATGACCCTAAATGTAGAACCTAGTAATTATATGCATACAAGAAAAAACATTCTGAGGATGTGTAATCTGGGCTGAGAAAGAATTGCCTTTGATAAATGATATCCGCATCAATTAAAAAACTGACAGTGAACCAAGTCAAAATGACTGCAACTTTTATTTCAATGGCCACGAACATTAATTTTTTAACTGCCCTCAATACACATTATTCTGAGAACCTTATCTAAAAGCGACTATTGTTTACAATCTTTCCGGTCAAACTCTTCAATTCCAGTGTACGATTCAAGATGGTACCAAGCGATTAAAATGAAAGCAAAAAATGAAAGACAAAAAATGAAAAAATAGTGCTTTAAATTAAAATAAAGGTGAAGATAGGAAAAGGGTACACCCGTACAGGTAGAATCCAGCAAACAAGTATAAATGTATAATTGGATATTTGGATGAGCTAAACTAGAAGCCAATTATCCGATAAAAGGTACGATTTAAGAGCTAAAACAACACCCTAGAGAGAAATTTGACATAATCACCACAAGTTCTTATTGCGAACCAGACATGAAAGCTCGGGAATTCATATCGAAAAAATAAGTTTACCTTTTTCGGGGAGAATCAGCCTGCGAAAGGAAAAAATTGAAGCATCGGTCAAATTACAGCGAATGGCTAAGAAACGTAAACAACTCAAGCGCATAAAAGCGATAGCAAGGAATAAAAATTTATGAGTGTTTACCATATCCGAACCAGCTTGTCTGCGAGAACAAAGGAACCCTAATCGCTAGGAACAGAGAGGAGATTGAGTATTGAGTACACAATCGGATTTGTTTAATGTTGTACCACCGTCCGATGGGAGAACAAACTTGAGGTCCGATGGTATTTGTTTAAATAGAAATATGCCGAAATTTTACAAAAATAATCTGTACCGAAAATAATCCCAACGGGATAGTTGTTTCACAAAAATAAATCAGAAATTAACGGTGTTAACTTTTTTGTTATTTTTTTTAATTGAATTTTGAAATAAAATGAATAAAATATATATAAAAACATTAAAATATTTGTTTTTATTTAGTCTTATTTCTACTACAAATTTAATTTAATAATAACGATTTTTGTGTAAAATATAAATAAAAATTGAACACATACTTGTATTCGTTTTAGTAATAATTAATATTGAATTACTAAAAGTAATTTTATATGTCTATTATAATGAAATAAATATGAATCTAAATAATATACTCCGTATTGATTAGAACTAAAAGAACAAAGAGAATTTGATGAGTATGTTTTCAAATATTTCTATTACATTTAATGAAAAAGAATGACTATTAAATTTAATTTATAATAAATGCAAATATAAGGACAAATATACGAAGTATATAATATTGTTGATGCTTATACATATTTTTGCTTTATTATATTTAAAATGAAAAAAAACACTAAACGAAAAAGTTAACATCGTTAACTTCGAGTTTATTTATGGAAAAAGTTAAATAGTTCGGATTATTGTTGTGAACTTTCCTGGTAGGGATTATTTTTGTAAAATGCATAAAAGTATGGATTATCCATGTCAATTTCGCCTAGAAATATCAATTCATTCTTTTGAAAAGAAAGTGCTAAAACTTTTACAACAAATCAATATATATATAAAAGAGAAACTTTTTAAGAGCATACAAAGCGTCACATAATCCTGACATGCCATTATATATAACAATTATTTACTTATTTTTATACTTTTTGTTTTTATTAAATTCTATTTTTGATTGCATATTGATATGGAAACAAAAATCCTTATAAATCCACCTTAATTAATTTGGTAAGCTTCAAATAAGTAAAATAATTTTTGGTTATCAAAGTGAAATTCTAATAACGTTTTTTGATATGGAAACTAATTTATATTAGTTTACTACACCGAATTAAATAGAAACAAATATGCAAATTAGTTTACTTATTAATTTGACACATATTAATAAATTAGTAAGCTTCAAATAAGTATGATAGAGTATATAGACTCGAACCCCTGGGTCTCATGACTATTGGGCCCGGACAGCGGCTCACACACATCTTACGGATATCATTTGTATTATTGTACTGCTTATATGTCATTTGTATGTAACTATGTACTAGATTAGTCTTTTATGTAGTTGGGCTACCGGGCCCATATTAGCGGTCCGGCCCATTATTTCCCTATTTATACTCCTCTTGGAGCCATTTGTAACCCTAGAACATAAGCCTCAATTTCACAATTCACTATTCATTCATCTTCTTCTTCACATTAGCTCAAATCTCTCCATTTTAATATACTTTGGATACCCTATAATCCATCAATGGTGCTTTCATTGAGAGTTTGAGCAAAATCAAGTGAGGAATCCTCCCAAAAACATCCAAAATCCATTAGAAATTAGTCAAAATCAGTGAGAAAAATTCATAAAAAATAAGCCAAAGAAATCTGGAATAATACATCTGGATTTTTTCCAGATCTGCCGAAACCGTCTTCTCCATCCATAACTACACTTTGCTTTGGTGTTTCTGTTTGCAGCTCTCTGCTCCTCTTCCGTCGCAGTGCCACTAGGCCCGCCAATCCCTGGCTTCAGCTCATGGCCGCACCGGCCCCACGGACAAGGTACCTAGCCGCGATACTTGTTTGGATCCATGGAGCTCCTCGCCTGAGTCAGAACAACGGTGCTGCCTTTCTTTCGAACCAGTCAGAAAAGCAGCTCGCTTGAGTTGCATCACCACCGCTCGTCGCTTGTCGGCAGCGGTTAATGAAAACTCGCTCCACTTTCACGCCATTCGCCTCCCGCCATGGTCAGGTCAAATGCAGCTCAAGCTGCAACACATGGGAGGTTCCCACCGGAGAAAACCATAAACAAGCATGAATCCGCCCCCCTAAGGGCAGAGACGACGAACTTCAGTGAGACCCTTATCGACACAACCCAGATCCGAAACCCCCTCTCAGACGGCGGCTCCCGGCGAGTTTTCTCTCGTCCAACTGATCTCTCCGAGGGCCATCTATGTCCATGACACACCGGCGGAAGGGTTCTCCTCTCAAGAAAGGGCAGATGTCGACTCGGTCAACATTTGTTCTCTAATCCTCCCCGGCTCCAGCTCATGTCTGGCGAGGAAGAGAAAGCGGAAGGAGCTTCATGGCTGTCAACTTCCTGCTAGAGAATTTTGGATCCAGACTTGTTTAGCACTATGGGCCACACAAGCAACGGTAGTTTATATTAGTTGGGCCAGGCTTGTTCAACGGATCATCTTGTCCAAACAGTACACTTATTGAGAGCTAAGTATTCCAGAACTAGCTCCATACAATTTACATGTGAACTTGTTTGATAAAGAAAATTACAAAACAAAAAAATCATAAATGAAATATTTTAATAATATAGCATCAAACTTCAATCTCGAGGGCCGAGTCATCCGTGAAAAGACCCGTAAATAGCGTCCAGCGGATCGTAACTACGAACTTGAGTGACAAGTTGAGCTAGATTATTAATTTACTATCATTATTTTTTAAATAGTGTGTATTTTTTGACATTGAAAAAACGGACTTATGAATTCTGAGCACTCACGTACACCGGGCGAGCACACATACTCGCGCCACCGGGTCACGTCAAACGAGTGTGGATAGTAAGCTCCCAATCCAAATGTTATCAAATGCATACTCTAGTTTCCATGTTTTGTACGAGTTATGTGTGCCTCTAGCTATCGGATATGAACTGCAATCCCTCAGCGGTAGGTTCAGTCCTTTATGTGTGCCACGCTCCAACTAAGCATAGAAACCTAGCTTGAGGTGTAGCTTGGAAATTTGAGGCAACTTAATTTAGACCCAAATTCAATAGCAAATTATAAGCTCAAGAAATTATAACAATTTTATTTGAATGCATAGGTGCAACTAAATGATGACATCATATCGGCCATTTTATCGCCCCGTCATCTTTATTTGATGACATGGCGCTCTCATATAGGCCTCTTGGCCATGCATCGCCTCGTCGTCTTTATTTGACGACGTGGAGCTCTTATGCAGGCCCCTCGGCCATACAGCATCCCGTCGTCCTTATTCGACGACGTGGAACTCTCATACAGGCCTCTCGACCGTTAGCCTCCCAGTCGTCTTTATTTGACAACGTGGAGCTCTTATGCAGGCCTCTCGGCCATACAGCGCCCCGTCGTCCTTATTCGACGACGTGGAACTCTCATACAGGCCTCTCGGTCGTTAGCCTCCAAGTCATCTTTATTTGATGACGTGGAGCTCTCTACAGGCCTCTCGGTCGCACATCGCCCCGCCATCTTTATGTGATGGCGTGGAGTTCTTATATAGGCCCATCGGCCATATATCGCCACGTCATCTTTATTTGATGACGTGGAGCTCTCATACAGGCCTCTCGGCAGTACATCGTCCCGTCATCTTTATTTTATGACGTGGAACTCTCATCCGGGCACCTCGGCCATGCATCGCCCCGTCATCTTTATTTGATGACGTGGAGCTCATCATACCGGCCACTTGGCCATCTCTCCTGGTCATCTTTATTTGATGACTTGGACTTCTTATAGGGCTCTCGGCCACATGTCTCGGTCACTTTATTTGATGACCCGGACATCACATTATGGACGGTCACTCGATCTATCTCTTAGTCATCTTTATTTGATGACTAGGACTACTTATCATGCCGAGCTACTCACATCTAGAGACTGATCTCGGTCATCCCCTCAGCAGACGAACACCGTTGCAGCTCCACACCTAGGCCAAAGGGCTCACCCCTTTTGCTTCATTTTGGGGGCATCCGGTGTACTCTTTTTCCCTCATTAGGATTTTTTCCCATAGGGTTTTTTCCTAATGAGGTTTTTAACGAGGCATCTCCCCATCGTGGATCAAAAGGTGTCAACCATTGGCCCCCTGTTGAAGACATCATCCGACACGCATTACTCTACTCCTCTTCACCTCATTACACTCGCCTCAAAGAGTGGGGGACTGGAAGAGCGGGGGACTTAGCGCCTCCGTTAACCAAAGAAGCAGAAATTCAAATTTTTGTTCACGAAGTTTACTCACCAGACGACGACAGATCAGCACACAGTTCTACTCTCTTTCGCCTCGAATACTCTCGACTCAGAGAGTGGGGGACTCCTGATAGAGTATATAGACTCGAACCCCCGGGTCTCATGACTATTGGGCCCGGACAGCGGCCCACACACATCTTACGGATATCATTTGTATTATTGTACTGCTTATATGTCATTTGTATGTAACTATGTACTAGATTAGTCTTTTATGTGGTTGGGCTACCGGGCCCATATTAGCGGCCCGGCCCATTATTTCCCTATTTATACTCCTCTTGGAGCCATTTGTAACCCTAGAACATAAGTCTCAATTTCACAATTCACTATTCATTCATCTTCTTCTTCACATTAGCTCAAATCTCTCCATTTTAATATACTTTGGATACCCTATAATCCATCAAAGTAAATAATTAAAAATGAAATTAAAAATTATAACCAACATAAAGTATATATATTTTCACAAGTAAATATGTTTAGCTTAGCCAGTAAGTAAATTTTTTTGGTTGTTTCTGTTGGGTGTGTTTCGGAAAATAAAGAAAATTAAATAAAATAAATTAATTAAATAAAATGACTAGAGAAAAACAAGAAAGGAGATGAAGCAGAATTAGCCAAAGCTCGTGCTACGCACGATTTCCTTAAAACGTATTTGTTGCCTCCCACGGTGCTAGGAGCGTTGCAACAATCGTTTCCCAGGATACGATGACTACGAACTAATGTTTGAGCACACAAACAAGAGTTCCAGCGAACGAGAACCATGTATGAACACAGAAGGATTTTTGGGAGTAGCTGGAAGAGTTTTTAGCTCAAGAAAACGTGAGGAAAGTGTTGTGCGTT